CCCCAAAACCCCAAAACCCCAAAACCCCAAAACCCCATGATTTTGTAAATTTATTGAGACCACCAGAAATGAAGGCTTTTACACAAATACCTAAGCTATGATTAGCTCCAATGGTCAGAATCGGGACACATCCTTTTAGAATTCTAGCTTTGAGAAATGGAGCTGATATTGTGTATACTGAAGAGATAATAGACAAGAAGCTGGCCAATGTAGAACGAAGGGAAAATCATGAGCTAAAAACAGTGGATTTTGTACACAAGAAGGATGAGAAGGTGGTCCTGAGGGTCTCTAGTGAGGAGAAAGGGAAAGTTGTGTGCCAGATAGGCACGAATAGTGTGGAAGGAGCGGTGAAGGCAGCGTTGATGGTAAAGGGTTATGTAGCAGGGGTTGATGTTAATATGGGATGACCTGAGTACTTCTCTGTTCATTCTGGAATGGGGGCTGGGTTGTTGGAAGTTCCAGATCGAGCGAAAAGTATCATGCAAGCGTTGAAGGAGACTTTGGAAGTCCCTGTGAGTTGTAAAATAAGGATTCTACCTAAAGAAGAGGATACGCTAGAGTTTATCAAAGCGATGCAATCGGTAGAGGTTGATCATCTTTCAATCCACTCTAGAATCCGTGAAGAGTTTTCTAGAGGGTATGCTCACTGGTCTATTGTCAAGAAAGCAATGGAGGATGAGAAAATCACTATTCCGATAAGAGCTAGTGGTGACTGATTCAGTATCAATGATGCAATTGAAATGAATAAATACACATCTTGTGAGGGAATCCTGATAGCAAGAGGAGCTTGCCATAACCCAGCAATTTTTAAAGATATCAAAAAATATTGGACAACCAATTCACAGAATGAGGACCTCGTAAAAGAATAACCTAATTTTTAGAAAGAGAAAGCAAAATATTTATACTCAGAACATAAGAAACCTCTTAATGAATGAGGTCTTGAAAATCTAGCTGAGAAGAGTGAAATACTCAATCAGTTAAAGCCAGAAGCTACAGATACTCTAAGCAAAAGTCAGGCTAAGAAAAGAGCAAAAAGAATACTTAATAAAATGAAGAAGAGCTCTTCAGAGCAAAAAGGAGCAGATGGTAAGCAATCAAAAATATTAGCAAAGATGATTGAAAGGAGAAATATTGGGTGCAGAAAGGTTGATATCATACCTCTCTGCCAGGATTATTTAAAACTAGCAATTGAGTATGGCAATAATTTTGGAAACACAAAATATACTCTTAACTACATGTTGAGAACCCATAAGGATCAGGAGGTAGTATTTAATAAGATAACATCTGCCCAAAATATGCAAGAATTAGCTCAAGTATGAAATTTTATAACTTCTAGGCGATCACTATGGATGATTTCTATTCAAAGATGGTATCAAGGCAGCCTTCATTGAAATCTTATTTTGATAATACATTCTATAAATAAGAAGCTCATTCAAGAGGCTTAGAAGTGAAGAATGTGTTCAATTTCATTAAAAAAATTAGGGGTTTTGGGGTTTTGGGGTTTTGGGGAGATGTTATCTTA